AGTCTTTTAAAATACGATTTAGAGCATGACCTAAGTGGGCATGGCCATTTGCATAAGGCGGGCCATCATGCAAAATAAACCGAGAACGATTTTTAGACTGCTCACGTATCTTTTTATAAAGGTTTTCCTTTGTCCAGTTCTTAAGGATTTCAGGCTCTTTTTGTGACAAGTTGGCCCGCATAGAAAAATCAGTTTTCGGTAAAAAGATCGTATCGCGATAATCAGCCATGATCAAAAGCTTCTAAAGATAATTTATAAACGCTTTAATCTTTGCCATGGTCAAGCGTTCTAGGCAAGTCGCATTGTAAATAAAACTTTTTTCTTTGAAGCGTTCCTAAGTTTTAAAAGAGCAGGACTTTTTCTTGCAGTTCTTGGGGAATATGATAATTCTGAACATTAATTGATCAGCATGATTCATTTTCAACAGGAGCGTGACTTTAATGGAAAAAGTCCCTATGACTCAGCCTGGCTTTCAACGTTTGGAGGCTGAGCTTAAAAATTTAAAAAGCGTTGAGCGTCCCGCCATCATTGACGCAATTGCTATAGCACGTGCATTAGGTGATTTATCAGAAAACGCGGAATATCACGCTGCTCGCGAAAAACAAGGTTTTATTGAAGGACGTATTGCCGAACTAGAAAGCAAGCTGTCTCGGGCTGATGTGATTGATGTCACGAAAATGAGTGGGGATATTATTAAATTTGGTGCCACAGTAACCGTTGCTGATGAAGAAACAGATGCAGAAACGACCTATCAAATTGTTGGTGCGGATGAAGCAGATTTAAAAAATAATAAGCTTTCTCTTTCTGCACCGATGTCTCGCGCTTTAATTGGAAAGCAAATCGGAGACAGTGTCGAGGTAAAATCTCCTGGGGGGATAAAATCTTATGAAGTTGTTACTGTGAAATATAAGTAACCCCTGCTTTTTAGGGAAAAGCCATGCGTTCATGGATTTTATGTGATGCACAGAAGGTGGGAACACTGAACCAATGTATAGGGTTGGCTCAAGCCCTTAGTTTGACGCCTGAAACATATTCTCTTTCTGCTCATGGCTTTTGGCGTTTTTTACCCGCTCGATTTTGGCCTTTTCCTTTAA